TACATTTGAGTAATGTATACAGGAATGTAATTCAAATTTAAATTTTGATTGCACAGTTTATAAATTCAGACGTTTCACCTTGCCGCTTTTCCAATATTCAACATTTCTTTTATTTTCGAAACTAGTTGGTACTTCAGTAGGTAGAAAGTTTTCTGTTCGTGAATTTTGTTCGCGAGACATAGTAAATAAGTTCTTCTTCCATTTCTTTCAACCATTCAATATCAATGTCAGGCTCTCCATTGTTTACGAAACATCCTTCGATATCCAAATATGTCTCCTATTCCACACTCTTTATGAATACTGCATCTTCCATACTCTGCGTGGTTATATCAAATAAAGTATCCATCAACTCTAATTTGGCACTGTTAATAGGTGCTACATTTTTATCCCCAGAATTAAAAGTTATGGATAATAGACTACGCAAGTTTATTGGATTGTTATAAACCATTATGATAAGGCAATGTGATACCATAACGGTCTGAACGATGAGGCGTTTTAAATGCAACTACTTGGTAAAGTAAAGAAATCACTGCGTTTTCTGTCTTTATACATACATACATTGCAACACGCTATTATATAGTAGGAGGCACAACCATTTTGTTGGCGAAAACATCAGATATAAATAACAAAAAGCTCTGGAATATTATCAGCGGAAAAAGCAAATGTTATAAGAGTTTTTTAAAGTAAAGGTTTTATGTCTAAACGTTTTATCGTTCGAATTTTTTAATCAATATTTTCGGACATTTATGGAGAAACCAATACAGAATCATAGAAAATTAGAAAAATCTATTATGGAATAATGTAATACAATTTTTTATGCAATGATACAATTGTAATTACCGAAAATCGTTAGATTGAAAACATTTTTAGGAATACCATTGTTGCAGCGATTCTATCGCCTAACTTATTGGAACTGTTCGTTACCTAATAAAATTAGAATAAAATAATACATATAAAATTCTATAACTTTAACAAAAAGTATTTTGTAATATAAATTTAATAAAATTAACAATTATGTATAGCGCAAATATAATTGTTTCTCATTTATGCTTACAAATAGCATAAACAGTGTAACATCGTCCGACATGATCCCGTTTAGTACCGCGCGGTGGGTCAGCGAGCGCACACGTGTAATGTATGTAATAAAAATTTGAGAAACTATGTATATATCAATGGATTTGGAATAAAATTCTCTTCACTTATTGTCATTATGCCAATTTGAATCAATTATAAAATAAAGTTATAAAAAATTTGTTTGTTATGAATAAATTGCATTTTACCTAATTTGTTAACATCCTGTTATTATACGCAAAAAATCATACAATTTTCCTATTAGAACTTTTAATGTATTTCGTATGGTTTTCGAAATAACCTAAGCAAGTCGAAACTTTAAGGGGTTGTTTCACCCTTTAAACACGTGTCTCAGCCGATAAAAAAAATACGTGTCTCTTATTTTTACCTGCTTAACAAACATACGAAGTTTCATGTAAATCGAAGGGGGACACTTTTATGACTTTGCTCGTTAGATTTTTATGAAGACAAAATTTGTCATTGATTTTCTACGTTTACACTTATTATACGGCATGCATGACTAATTATTTTTTATGTGATATATTTTTATATTTATTAGTGCATAATCAGTTACTTGTTTATAATTTTTTATTACATCAGACATAATACTACTATCTCCAAAACATTTTCTACCATAGCAATTTAAGTAGGTTGTTACAAAAATTTCGGGAATTCATCACTTCCAACGCTGTCACTCAAATGATAATGTCAATTTCGTACGATTTAACAGTTTTCAAATCAGAAGGTGTTGAAAGAGCAAAGAAATGTTAATTGGTTTCGTTTTTGTAGCATTTCGAAATTGAGAAAACAGCATGAAGAATTGGATTAAAGGAGAAAAATTTCTGCAATAAATTTTTGTGATTTTCGAAATAATTCAACTCTGTAACAGTGTATCGAACCACTTTTTGCGGCTTGTGACGATAAAGTACCATCAAGAATAACAACTTATCGCTAATGGAAGAATTCAAAAATGGACGTAGCACTGTCGGTAGCGATATTCGTAAATGTCTACTAATTGCTATTGTCTCAGAAAATATCGACACGGTACACAAAATAATCAAGACGGATTGGCATGTAACATATCGTGAGATTAGTCGTCCATAGACATCAACATGAAACCAATGTATATAAACACTAAAATTGTCCAGCATAGTACTAACATAAGCTTTTATATAGCAGCGCATATATTAAATTATTTGACAAATCAAAACATTGAATTAATGTTTCATTGTCCTTATAGCCCTAATTTATCGCATAATATCTTCCTGTTTCCTCGTATGACGAATAAGAAGAATCGTCAACCTTTCCTGAAAAAGCTATTAAAATACGTAAATCGCATTTTCTGACTAAATCTTGTTTTAATTGGAAATAATGTCAAAAGCTGGTTTATTATATATAAAAGAATATAAATGTATAAGAAAAATATTTTGAAAAATAGTAATACCATTTACTCAAATTTTTCTATATTTTTTGGCATATTTTCCCGAAACTTTTGCAGTAACCTACGAAATAACTTAAACTTTATCGTGATTATTTAGAATACTTACATCATACTACATAAATAATACATCTGTTGTTTTCCTAATCAGTACTATAAGACTTAATTTTCTAAATATTCTTTAAACATTTTTCTAAAGTAAAAATGTTGATTTATTTCCCTTTCTAATTTGTTACTTTTATAATTTTTAAATATGTATATTACACTCTCGCAACAAAAGTAAAAACAATTCAAATTCAAATATTTAAAAAAAGCGCATTTGTCAAGTTACTGCTATGAAAATATTGTAGATCAATTATAAAAATTCTATGTATTTATTGTCATAATTTAAGTACTGCAAAGAAATTATATCATATTTGCATAGTATACTCACATACATATACAAAACCATACATTCATATCATATAGTGTTAGAGTTTTATATTTGTCATTAATTTGATGATATGAAAAGCAAAAATAGTATTTTGCTTTTCCTGGAAAACATACTTTTTGAAGTCATATCACTTTTGTTGCAAGAGTATAATATAACTTATTGAGAAAAGAAAATATTTCTTTTATTGTTGTGACTAGACACAATTAAGAAGTAAAATTAAAGAAATTTTTAACTACATTCTCTTATATATTCTTACATAATGGAAATAATTTTGCTAATTACATTATCACATTAAATATCATAAGATATAATGAGGATATTTAAGATTACTATTATTAATAAGCAAGAAGTATTATAATGTAGCACCCTACAGTATGTGAATAAGAACTATTATCTAATATAACTTATTTTTTATTGGTTGTATTAAATTACAATCGAGTACCACACACCAAGAGTAGTATAACTCCATTTTAACCAATCTCTTAGTTACAATGTGTAGTATATGTAAAAAAATTCTATATTATGTAATGTACATTTGACCTAAATTCAATAATCAATATATAATTTATTGCAGTTTTCGACTGTAAGGATATTTACACTTACAATAATGACAAACAAATTCAAAGATGACATTATTTTTTAGTATATGCAGAACATAACTTATTTTTCCATATATAATTAATGAAACAGCAATAAATTAATAAATTGTGTTCTTTATTGTACACAGTTAACAAAATGTAAGTGATTTTTATATGCTTCGGTGCAGCTATAATACTTTCGAATTTTGAAAGTATGTTTAAAAAAATAAATCTAAACAGTTACCAACTCAACAACTATCATTTACTGCGAGAAAATATATATTCTTTTAATTAGTTCTCTCATTTTAATATTAAATCAAAGACATATTTTTATAAATAGTTTTTTTCTAATTTACACAAGATTGGTGAACATGGATTTGCACCCCTTTCACTGCTAAATCATCAATTATATTAAATACTTTTAATGCTTTTGTTCATACTATTTAATAATTTGTTTGTTTTTGGAATTCAAAGACGATTTAATATCTTATTATTATAAGTTATTGAATTCATTGTTGAGAAAGTAAATGTATTGACCTTAGAAAAACTTAACCAATAAAAACATATTTATTCTAATATCTTAAAAAACATTACACGCAAAATATATTAAATATTCATTTATATATCTCTTCAAATACAATATAATTTGATTAAAATGTTTCATGATATATACAACCAATAGGTAACAAGTTATTTAAGGTAATAGTTATCATTGACTTATTTTGTATGTATAATTTTTTGTTGTTATTTATAACATTTTATTATCATAAATAAACAAAACTGTTTTAAAAAAGCATGTATCAAATAAGTTAGACAATCATACTTAAGTAACTTTAAAGGAATTTTGAATTTATAAACTAAATAAACTGTTTCACTTCATATTTTATAAAGTTATCCCTCCAGCGAGTGTGTAGCAGCGTTTTATGCCATGTTTTTACTAATTTACGGATTTCTTTAATATCCACAGTTATATATCAATGGTACACAAATAATAATCATTTAAGTACAGTGTTGTTAAAAAGAATATAAATAGAAGAATTGCAGGTCCTAGTGGTTGATCTGCCCTACTGCATGCACATATGCACAAAATTGATTAAAGAACAGTTATTTGTGATTCATATGACCATTCTGTATGTAAGCATAGTAATAAACCAGTTCAATGCAGGAATTGCTTGTACCCCAACAGATGAGGGCTGATTCTATTGGTGATTTTATTATTATTTCTTCACTGTTTAATATTTTTCATTTTATTGCTGTTGCCATTTCTGAAATAAATTTTGCTATTATTCAACTATATTAGCATTTTCCTGTTTGCAGCATAAAATGCAGCAGCATGCCCACTCATAAAATTTGACTACATGTACCTGCCGGAGGGTTAACATTACCTTATTGTGTATGAATTTAATGTAATAGAAAAATTTTAAAAGAAATGCAAAATAAAAAATAAAAACGTTTTATTTGAATATATAATAATTCTTACCTTTGACAAATACACTTTGCCGTTGGTCTTTCCCTGCAGAGATGCTACTAGTTTCTGCCACATGTTCTCGAATATCTTGTGTTCCACTTGCTACATACATTTCTTCCTTTTCTATCATTATATCCATTTGACTGTTACCATTAACAGAAGCTACTTCGGATTTAACAGATGTGCGACTTAATGTAGTTGGCGATAATCTGCTAACAGTCAAACTTTGTGGTGGTGTTCTGCTGCGTTCAGTCATTGCACAACATAATGAAAGTTTTGTACTAGTGTGAGATCCATATTGCGAATTTTCCATCTTTGAATTTTTGTTTGAATCATTATCTTTGTAAGATGTTTCCAAACATCCCACCTTAGTTTTTTTATTCAAAAGCATGCGACAAAGAGATTTCTTCTTCTGCTTTGATTTAGGTGAAATATTTGTTTTTGTAACATTTGTTGTATTATATATATCATGTTCTTCGCATTGCTCCATGGTATTTGTAACTATATACTTTTAACACCATACAGTTATTCACTATTAATGAATAAAGTACTTTGTTACTGATTAAATCGAACACATTATTTATAGGTATTTAATAAGATATATCCATAATATACTTATATGCAATTATTGCACAAATAGTAACTTAAATATTTATATTAATTTCATTATGCTAGCACTCTCTTTTAATGCATGATATAATTAATAATTACTTCAGTGCTTATAACCATTAATAGAATGAACATTTTATATGTCACTAATTTCATTTGAGTTATATACAAAGTATAACACGTATTTTAATAGTACCATGAGACTACATAGAAGATGTTTTATTTCATTATGATGTCTGATATTTTAGGTTATTAACATTTTACCATCGGTATATTTTATATGTTTAAATGAATACAGGGCAGATATTAACCAATGGAGTACTTTCATATTCAGGACAGTTATTAATTTAATATTTAGAATACCAATTTAACATTTAATTATTTTTAAGTTTTTCAAATATAAAATTCATTTTCTTTATGTACATATATGCATAATATAATTATCCTTAATTATATCAAAGTACATACAATCATCATCAATTGTATTAGGTTATGTTATAAATGAAATATTATTTTTAAAATTGTACTAATTGAAAATCAAATTGTTTCATTCACTTGCATACATTCTTATAGTATTACAAAATGTACTTGGAATTTGATGTCAATTATGAAATGACACATCATTTGTGCCAAAACTGATGACAATTTGTGTCCTATTTGAAAGTATTTAAGAAATAATCATTAACTTTAACTTTTGCCTCCATTTTTAAGTAAAAAGTAAAATAAACGATATATATGTTTAAAAATTCAACACAATTTTCATTATATTTTACTATTTTATGGATGAAAATATATATCCAAATGTTATATCCTTACTGCTTTGACGCTAACTTCTGAACGTATACAACTGTCAAACAAATATGTAATAGTTTTATCACTTTACAACATTTTCATGAAACTTTATAGTTTTATATAATTAGCATTTGATATAATTTAAACTTCACGTATATTACTTAAGATAAATAATATAAGTGAAAACAACTCGATGCAATCACTAAGAAAAATTTACTACTTGAATTAAAAGTACGTCTGTCAAAATGAGCAGACGACGTTCGTTAGTGCTATATGTATTATTGGCACAAGCCGTTAGTAATACAATATACATATTCAATGCACTCATTATACCACTCACGTGCACGCTAGGCTTCCTTCAGTTAAGGGGAAATCTAGTGAAAGGAGTGTCCCACTATTCGCCTGATTGAAGGAGGGTAGTCTTTTGCAGTTGCACATTGCACATGTTGAGTCGAAAAGCAAATGCTGAGAGGCTTCTTCTTTTAATATTCTTCCTAACTGAGGGAATCATAATTTGCACGCGACCGTACCTAAATATATAAATATACCTTAACGAAAATTCTAAAAACATCCGTGTCCTGATTTGGCTAAAATTTTGAAAATAAATTATAATTTTAAATATAAAAATGTTTACAACAAAAACTTTTAGTAACTCAAAGGTTAAAATGCTTTTTTAATATTTCTTATGATGTTTATTTTAACCTAACCTAATTTCATCGAGTTTAATCTAATCTAACCTAATCTAACCGTGCGGAACAAAAAAGAATTATTTCTTTTATTAGGAAAATAAAAACTTAGGGCTAATTCCCAGAATAAATTGCAGAAAGTGTTACTGAACATCGCACATTAGGGGGATAAACCGTAATCAGGGAACATGTCTCACGGCATGTGAACCACACTAAAGGTGTTAAACAAGTACCTTAATTTCTGTGTGATAAAAAATCTTTTTCTTAAAGAATAGTTTGATTTACTTTCTAAAATAACACAATTTTTTAAATTTTGTCTAAATTGAAACATGGAAGTTTTCAGTTATTATTTGATTCGTGACGTTTAGTAAGTTACGTCATCATATGCAATTTGTTTACATCGACAATAAATATACGTATAAATA